GGAGGGTAATATCACCTCAGCTGCTCTCACACTAAAGTCCTGAGTGACAGGACCTTTAGGGACACAGGTACATGGCCATATCCCTGGTGCCCACACAGGGCAGGGGCATCTGGATCCTGGGAAGCTCCAGGAAAGGTGAGGATCCCCTCTAGAGGACACGCTACTAAGGATCAGAAAGGGGCCAAGGAAGTCAAGAGATTACAGCAGGTCTTAAACTATGGGAAAGTTCAACTGGAGGGTATTAAGGTTCAAGGAGAAGCTCTCCACTCCTCCTCAGCATTGAACTTTGTAGTGGTCATGCTGGTGGCGCTCTGTGAGCTCTAGAATGTTCAACACTATCCGGGGACTCTACCCACTCAAGGCCAGCAGGACTCCCTCCCCCAACTCTGACAACCAGCAATGTCTCCAGACTTTGCCAAATGCTTTTCTCAAAGAAAAATTTACCCCTGGCAGAAGCATTAATCTACACTAATCTATAAAAGCAAATCACCACTAAAATCCATCATCTCTTGGTAGAAGAATTGCAAGTGTGAGAGGGGTAAAATGGAGGTCTTCAATATCTACCGAAATGACTTTTACTTAATCAGTAATTTGATGACCCAGAAGGCATGTTTAGAGGTGATGCCACATGGCTGCCTGTACCTCACAGCAGAAAGGTTGTGGGTTTTCCGAGGGTTTTAACGGTGAACTGGAAATGTCTGTAATTGTGAAAGGGAATGACACCCACTGGGTTACATTAAAGAATTGATGCAGGGAATTTTGTAGATATTGGGAGAAAAAAATACACAATGTAAACCCAAACCCCATTCTGATTCTCTCACCATCTTAGGGCCATCTTGTCTATCTATGAATGATAGCATAGAGATTTTTGTATATTTTCAAAATTGTATACTGTTGGATCATTTTTAAAATAGGAACAAATCCCAAACTGGATGAGGTAACTGGACACTGATGGAGTTTCACTTTTGCCCAGGAGAGCCGACAACATCCTGCTCCCCCTGGCCTGGACATTGTCTGACTCAGGGGCCTAAATGCTCTCTTATTATGGAGAAAGAAGATGTTTTGAACATTCTCATCTTTCACCTATTCACCTCTCACACCCGTTGACCTCTCAAACCTCTTCCTCACTCCTGAATTTCATTCTCAATTACTGAGCTCCATTTCTGTCTCTCATTCATTCCAACATGTGATGGGTCCAGGTGGTGGCTTCTGCCCATGGTTTTGTAAAAAAACAAAAAAACAAAACAAAAAACAAACAAAGAAACAGAAACAACGAAAAAGACTTTCAAAATTGCTTTGCCTGAATCCTCCTTAAACTGACCTCCACCCGCAGCACCGTGATCATACCAGCAGAATTTGAACACTTTTTCTGGTAATCAGATGCTTTCCATCTCTCATTAGGAAATGTGACTCTCTCCACCCTGCATAAAGATTTCCCAGTAGAAATCAACACAGAGATACTGCCTGTGTGTTCCCAAAGGAAAT